GCGGTGGCGGACGGATTCCAGGAGTACAGAGATGGGAAGATCTCGGCGTACAAGATAGTTTACGAGCTTTGAGTCTACCATGAGCTGTGATACGGACGATACGATTATGATGGCTTACTTATGATAGCATGATACAGAATGGTTAATATGAATCGCCAAGACTATTATATCGATTAATGCCAGTCCACGGTTTCTACTTATTCCTCCCACCCCATCAAAGCATTTCTCAACATAGCCTCATTATAATTGCTTAAAGATCATCCATGAGTCAATACTACGCCCGCCGGTATATGATACCCAGGGGCAAGACGTGAATCCGTCTTCACCGGTTCGCTTTCTCTTTTCGAATCAGTTTCCCTTTTCCATGTTGATGTAAACATTTTCCAGCACTGAGTGCGTCGAAATGTGCGCCCTAGCCATAGGCAAAAGAATTATTGGACACTGCTAGCTCGGGTGGTGTTCGTCAACGTTTCCTGTCTCAGACACATGGGCGTCCTCTAGCATCGTGTGCCATTCCAATTGAAGTCTTCTCAGCACATGGGCTATGTGTGAACCCATAAGTCTGTCTAATGACAATACGATATCGATATTTCATATCGTGTCTCATCTTCCGCATCAATAAGTTCGGTAGCGGGTAGCTTTGTGGCCCGTGACTGTCTTACTGCATCTCATGCTTTGCCATAAAGAGCGCATTGGGGTTCGAAGAGTTGGATATAAGTCTGCATAATCTGGCCTGCATTGAAGTATTGCGAGTTATCCATTACGCCTTGTCGGTACGTACCAAGTATCTCAAATACGATACCCGTGCAACATCCTAGCTCATCGGACAATCCTTAGACAGTTGTCCAATATCCCTTTTTCTACATCAGTGTGAAGTAATATACTGCAGATTGCCCTTCACTAGTGTGTGTAGACAGTACCTCTCCTTCGTCCGGAAAGTGCCTGCCTATACGAAGATCTTCTCGTAGAGGAAAGCAGTAAAGAAGGAGAAACAGAAATCACGGGCGCTACTTTTTCGCATTCAAACATTGTTCGTATGCCTAGATATACGCAATTTCTGGAATGTAGATTTTAAAAGGCGACTCATGGTCATTCGCCACTAAAAATATGCGGCATGATCTGTTGGCGTTCCGGTAATGGAATAAGCAAAGGACTATCGTAAACGCATTCGGCGAAAGAATCCGTAATAATTATTATTTGGTCGATGCGGGCCCAACAGAGGTCATGCTTCTTTGGCAGCATCATGGCAGATCTCTATAGGCGATACTGAGGAGGAGGCTGTGCGGGTTCCTTCTCTGCGCAATTTGCAGACTTCGGATTCTCAGTATCCTCTGACTCGCTCTCTTCAACTTTCTGTGGCTGAACGGTAATCTGTAATGGCTGCGGCCGGGCACATTCGAGTTTACCGATTGAATGCGTTATTGACAACTTCTTTTCATCTGTGCGTCCCTTCATAACTGTAATTCCTCTCAAATAACATCCTGTTTCCTTGACGGCAATATTAGCGTCGCTTTGCACTCTTCTTCTCTATTCTAGTTGTTCTCCCTTGGCAATATGCCATGCTCATAGGGTTCCCATTATATCCTCTTTACCACACGTCATCGCTCCGAAGATTTTGGACATTTCGGCGTGGTGATTAGTATCGTGCATCTGAAGTAGATTGAACCATCATAGTCTCGAAACCATTGATTAGGAATTGTTTTGTTGCACTTTGACATTGAAGGGTCCACGACAACTCCAGAATAATCGGGTGATTATCCAGGTGGCTTGGACGGTACATAGAATAGAAAATGTAGCAAACCACAAAACTAGCACTGGCCAGTATGCCCGTCCGCTGCATTCAAAATCCGGCCTGGTTGTCCTCGTCATCTATCGACATCTGGATGTTGCATGCATGCCGACGCCACCGAATCGATAAATTTCTGTGAGGGCCGAATACAACTCACATAACCAATAACGACAATTGAGCACCTATATCGATAACTTATTCTTGGGGAATCTGGAGCCAGGGGCACAAGGGCTTGCTCCAACCTTTCGGTGGACTATCTTCCCAATGTAATAAGAGTCTGAACCAACTTTATATGACCACCCTATTTGACACAGCATCAGAGTTGACCCAGGCGTTGATTCTTCCTTGAGATCTTAGCAGTGGGCGGTTCGCCCAACATGTCTCTGCCAACAACTCAGCCCAAGAACAATTTGCCGACAAGTGTGAATTAGTCGAGGCACCATTTATACTAATCATTGTCACCGAAGAGCAATGATATTTAGTCTAATTAACAAAAGAGACCGTCGTTGATATCAATATCCCTGTCAGCCACGTTTGTATCGTGCCTGTCTTCATTATGATAGCACGTTCGATCCAAACATGATGCGAGTAAATCTTCTGCAATCACACACAAGACGAAGCGCTTTCGCGGGTTTAAAGAACTTTAGGGTTCGTCCCAGTCAATCGCTTGTCCTGATGGTAGGAGATTGCTTCTCAAATGATGTGAATTTTCAAAAGATCACGGATATTTTCAGAAGTGATGCCAGTGATGACATGTCAGTCAGAATATAGACAAGGCCTCTTGACTCGCTCATTTATCTGCAGTGCAATCTGGAAAATCTCGAGGACGTGGTAGTCACGGCTTGCACCATCCCACTCTGTCTGCTCCATTTGCCCTGCTGACGGCCTGTTTTCCGGAGCCCAATCCAGAATTTGGCATGAACCACGATGCTTTTAGATCCACTGCTGATGTTTTAGATATGAGGTTTGCAGCCGCAGTGAGCTGTCGGTTTCTGGTCGCCACTCCATCGAGCTGTTCATCAGAGGACTGAAGGTTCCTGAATCGTAGGATGGATCGCTTAAATCGGTATCTGTAGGGAGGTAGTGAGGCATCTGGCGTTCTCATGTCTCAAAAAAATGGCTATCGCAAATCGCCAGAACAAATTGTCTGAAACCTGGATTTTCTCTCCGTGTTAGGTTCACCTCTGGGTATTTGAAAGTAGATTGGGATACAGCAAGCCGAGACACACTCGAGGAAATCGTTCGTAATACCCATCTGTGGGCATTGCAACATTTGCAAGGCAATGCATATACAATGATATGTCAAGGTCTCAACAGGCCAATGAAGTTCATTACTCTGTACCGCATGGCCACGGCATTGGGTCTGATGCCCTCGGCGTGCTATCTGCCACGCCGGTGATATACTTCCCCGGTGATGCTGTGGACACATAGATAACGAGGGTGACTTCGTAGTAAATTCTTTAAGTGGATGTGTATCCGATGGTGGGTTAGATGAAGGTTCGGCGGCAGGAGTTCTGAACCAGATATTTTCTTGATAAGACGTTATGCATCGTCACATCTGAGCCTTGAGAAAGGAAGTGGTCAAATATAACGATAACTAAAGGAAAATAGAATAACATCTCCCATTTTCTTGTAAGCTCATTCGAACCTTGAACAAGCTGTTAGAGCGGTCTGACATTCCCTCACGGTGCGGGATTGTTGTTGCTTGGATTCCGATAGAGGTTGTATAAGACCTGGGCTACATGATAGCAACACCAACCCAGAACTTGTCCAGCATAATGGTACCCATATCGTTGAGTATCACAGGTGTAATAGTTACCACACAGTTTCTCATATCGTTTGTGAATGATACAGTCCTTCCAGAGAGTGTGGAAATGGCTGGTTTGTCGTCCGTTCTTCGCGATATCTTCAATAAATGAGTTTCTCTGAAGAAGGAAATATATCCAGTTGCGACATAGCCTAAATCGACTAATAATTTCTTTGACTTTTGCTTTGATACTCCGCAGCGGATAAAGGAGTGCCTGTCGACAATGAAAGACTAAAAAATTAGCCGTCAATCCAAAGCTTCCTAAGTTTTCCATGTAAACAAACTTACTCTATAATTCGCAGAACTAGTCCATTCCTTCATTAGAAAAGCCGTTGAAGAAAGCAAAGCACTAACAACCAAGCTGGCAGCTGCCAAGATACAGCCCTCTTCCATATCAGAAATAACCATCCTCTTGACCAAATCGTGTGCCCTCATCTATCTGACACTTGAAACGGGACAGAAGCTCTGGCTTTTTCTGTCATCTCAAGCACAGCCGTATCGACCTTTCGATATACAGAGTGTATACCACAATCAGGATATGGCTCGTCATCAAACTGCTCTGGTAAATACAGAAAGGAGCACCACTGCAGTATATGCTTCTAAATGGTGGGATTAGCAATGCAGCCGATGATGAACGCGTTTGTGGTAACCGCATAACAGGATTGGCATTCTGTTGTCTTGTGGCATAGCCATTACTCATCATGACCTGCTTCAGAAAGAACCTCATCTTGTGGAGGTAGATATGCAGAGATGAGGTTTTGATGTTGCATTCATCTGCGTGCTGATCCTTTAGGATCTGAGTGTCAGGTTGACGCGCAGGTCTTGATGTTGCAATCAATGTTATGATGACTATAGTTCTCTCTTTGGATAGGGAAATATGAACATAGTCTGAGGTTGAGTGTAGAAATCTAAATGAACTATGAGTGAGAATTGTCTTTGATACCTGGACTGAAAGGAAAAAGAAAGAAGAAGAAGAGAGGCCAGAGAGTCTTTTTATATTGAGATACTGAGAAGGCAAGGTGAATCATAACACGGTGACTTTGACAGCTACATTACCTCTAGGCAACGACGTGCACTGCATTTATTAAATATCCCTTGATCAGATTGAAGATCGTCTTACTTGTGAGTCACCATCGCATCGTTTTATTCCAAGACTCACATCGCCACGGCGATGAGGGCTTCAAGTAGAGTAGAATATAGGGCACGGCGGGGTGGTAGACCTCCGCTGAATTCACAGGCAGTATGGCAGTTATGCACTTTACAAAAAAATGCTATTAACTCCTATCTAGTGATACCTGTTCACTACAAGCACTCAAGACCATCAAAATAATGGTCCAATGATACTAATCAATGCTATGCAAAGTGTAATATATCTAATTCATCTATATGCAATACTAAAACAACCCACATTATACCACCACCAACATCTCACGCCCTCTTCGCCTTCGTCTTCTTGTTATACGGCCTCACACGGAATACATAATAGAACACAATGGCCGCACAGATGTTGAAGACAAAGTAAGCCCAGAAGATACCATAATCTCTCCAGCGATCATCCCAGCTAATCTCCCGACCGGCCAGATACTGATCAGCCGAACGAAGCGAGCAATACTCGCAGCTCTCAGTCGCATTCTCATTATACAATCTGCCCGTGGCAGTAGTGAGGTAATCAGCGAGATATTCACCGCAGGTCTGACCAGACGGGGGATTGAATACGCTGAGCTCGCTATCGGAGCAGATGATCGGACGGCCGTGCAGGGCGGTACCGGCGATACCGGCGATGTAGTACGACAGGGGAGAGACGCGCCACATGAAGATCCAGAAGCCGGGCAAAGCAGACGGGGGCTGCATGACACCGTTGAAAATGAGGGAGAGACCGAACATGAAGACGGCGAGCATGCCTCCCAGTGCGGGGTCGGGGAGGGCGCTGATGATAAATTGGGCGAAACTGGAGGCGAAGATGTAGAATTGGATGACGAAGAGCAGGATCAGACCCATGCGGTCGGAGGATTGGTCGGCGCCGAAGACCGCAAAGTAGAAGGATGCCCAGGCGCAGACGGCGAGAACGATGTGCCATGGGATTTCGGCGAGGAATTGAGCGATGATGAAGATCTTCCAGGAGTAGACCTTTGATGGTCTTTCGCGGACTTCGTAGAGGGCGCGGTTGGCGACGAAGTGGGGCATGATTCTGATGGAGTTAGTGTAAAGTCCGTCGCAGGGATGGTGGTAACACTCACTGGTTAACCAAGGTGGTAAAGATGGTACACAGCAGGAACAAACTGAAAAGAACATTCTGGAACCCTTGCTGGGAGTTGTCGGACTGCCAGAAGGAAAAGCCGATGAAGAGACCGGACACAATTCCGAGAACGAATTTGGCGAGAACGTATTCGGGTTGTCGGTAGTACTGCTGGAACACACGTTGTGTCACGTAGTAAAACTGGCTGGACAGAGGCATGGCAAACTCAGCGATGGTTTCGTCGCGCGAAGGTAGCGATGCGCCCTTTTGGCAGATGCGGTCCAGTTCATCGTGGAGTTCTTTGCGTTCGGGACTGTTATTCCAGGTCTGGACCCAGTCAATGGTTGACTTTCCAGACGCACCGGCGCCGATGATGTCCAGCATGTATTCAGCGGGCTAATGAAATCAGTATTCATGAATCAAATGGCGGGTGAATGTTATGACTCACGTTTTCAGTCTCTTCACAACGACGGGCGCCATTGCTTTGGAAATAGTTCAACAACGTCTGAGATTGCTGGCCAATATCGCCAAAATACACCGTCTTTCCACCCTTGGCAAGGAACAACAGTCGGTCAAAGTGCTCAAAGAGCAGAGCACTAGGCTGATGGATCGTAGCCAACACAGCCTGTCCGTGGTGCGCAAGCTTCCTCATGAAGGTACAAATAGCCCAGGCACTCTGAGAGTCGAGACCAGAAGTAGGCTCATCCAAGAAGATCAGCAATTCCGGCTTGGCTGCTAACTCAACACCAATACTGAGAAGCTTTCTCTGGCACACGTTGAGGCCATTACCGGGGTTTCCGACCACAGCTTCGGCAAAGTCTTCCATATCCAGCATCTTGATCACTTCTTCCACGTAGGCGTATTTCTCCTGGAGGGAAACGGTCTTGGGCTGGCGAAGAACCGCACTGAAGCGAAGTGCTTCACGGACTGTCGATTGGGCCAAATGCATATCTTGTTGTTGAACGTAACCAACCTTGCGCGGGAAACTTGCGTTCAGGTCTTTGCCATTAACAAAGAGCTCACCGGTGATGACTCCGAGTGAAGCTCTCTGCGCCAAGACGTCGAGTAGAGTAGTTTTACCTAGAACCAATTAGTTATTATATATCATAGCATTCCGTCAATGAAGGCCGACATACCAGCACCACTGACTCCCTATGATACAATTAGCAAGAATCTTCGTACGTAGGGAGAGCAGGACATACCATAAGAGCCGTCAAAGTTCCCGGCTTAACAAATCCACTCACTTCATCGAGAAGCCTCCGGGTTCCCTCCTTCACGGGGATATCGTACGACAGGTTTTTCCAGGTGAAGATTTCCTTTTGTTCCGGAATTTCGGCAGCTCCGAGATCAGACTCTCCAGCACCTTCAGTGACAGCTTGCACAGAATCCACTCCAGTTTCTTCATCATTCTGAAGATTGGCGGGCACATGTCCAGGACGAAAGACCAGTGCCTCAGCAGTGGGCTTCGCTCCGGGAGAAAGCTCGGTAATGGTCAGGTAAAGCGCATTGAAGAACACCAAAAATGCAATCAAAATTCCGTAATTCCGCCAGATGTGTGAATAAGAGTATTCATAGTTCAAGGAAATGAACTGGTCTCCCGAGACAGTTCGTGCTCCGGCGACAGCACCAACCGCAGAGCAGATGAAGGAGTCTCCACTAAGACTGGCATAGTTGGGAATGAACTCCGAGCATTCAAAGTTCCGTCCATGGAATTCGTTTGCAACCAAGCCTTCGAACGAGTAAAAGATAGGGTTGATCCATCTGATCCAGCTGAACCACGGATGCATGTACGGCTGAGGCAGGGTAAAGCCCGTGTACACAACCATGCAGATGACGCAGATACCTGCCAGCGCCATAGCTTGTCCAATACTCTTGGTGGCAGAACCCAAGCTTCGGAAGACACCGGACATCGTGACAACCGTAGTAATCAGGAATAAGATGTAGATGAAGAATTGAGAAGGTTCGCGACGTAAGTTGGCCATAAAGTAGAGGATAATACTGAAGCAGATACATCTGAAGAGCTTGATGGGAAAATCGAGGATGATTGACGCAAGAGCTTCGGCAAACGGATGCACGAATGCGTACCCGGCCTGCTTTTCGACAACAGGACGTTGGGCGTAAAGGGACATAATCTCGTTAATAGTAATCAAAGCGTTCATCAGGACCGAAAAGTAGAGGGTAGCACCCCTTTGGAAGAAGCCAGCCGTTGCGGCGGGTGTGTTGTAGAAAATTGAACCGATAATCAACGAGAGTGCGATTTGAACGAAAACGGTAATCAAGGTAGTGGGAAGGTCATTTCGTGTTCTTTGATATGCTCGTCGGAGGCAAATCCGGATCTGCATGGGAATTGAGAGGAGATAAGGACTCTTCGGACGAACGTGTTTCGCTTGCTGCGCCTGCTTGCTTTCGCCAAATCGCTTCTCGAGCTGGACGCCCGGCGCATATCTCGCTTTATAGCTGTGCATCTTGGCTTTGAGAGCTTGGTATTGTGGGCTGTTCTTCCAGTAAGCTTCGAATTCGGCTGGTGTCCGGGGAACTCTGTCTGCCATGTCTTTCCGAGCGATTCTCTCCCGAGGGTTGGTGATGGACGTCAAGAAGTCAGGGGTGATCTGTTTCAGTGGTCGCTCCCAGCCCATTTCCTCAAAGTATTGGGCTGCCTCCTGCTGCGGGCCATAGTAGATCTGTCTACCTTCATACAGCACCACCACCTGGTCGAACAGCTGGTACATAGACTCGGATGTCTGGTACGCAGCAACAGCATGGCAGGAGCCGACGAGATCAGAGGAAAGACGAAGAGCTTGAACGAATTCGAGGGCCATGGCAGCGTCGAGGCCGCGTGTGCTGTTATCCCAGGCACCAATAGGAGCACGCGATAGAGCCATCTCGGCAATACTAAATGGTTCAGTAAGCTATACCATCGTGGGACCTTCATGCCGACTTACCTCACGCGCTTTCGTTCACCACCACTAACACCACGGATGAAATCGTTGCCCACTTTTGTGTTGTACGTATGCGAGAGACCGAAGAATGCCATGATCACCTGGACCCTCGTCTTGACGTACTCTGCCCGACTCATACCACCGATCCGGTTGTGTGGTGCTCGTGCGTGAGCAGCGAACTCGAGGGTCTCGCCAACGGTCAGATGAGGGAAGTGTTTGTCGACTTCCTGGTTGTATAGAACTTCACCGCGGTATTCCTTGATCATCTGGTTGAATGCGATACCTTTGTACTGCACATTGCTTTGAGGGTCCAGATCCAGTCCGTGGAGGTGTCCACTAATGGTTTTGAGAAAGGTAGAGCAACCACTACCAGGTCTACCCAAGACAAGCAATAGTTCTCTACTCTCCAAAAGACCATCATGACTGTGTAGAATCGTGCGACGTGTGCTTTTCTTGCTGCGGAATGCCGAAGTAGCCAGTTTGAAGGGGCTCATGAGAGTCGACAGCACCGTCTGCTGCAGATGAAGCGAGGAGCCGGATCCATGAACCGACAGATCCTCGAATAGGATACCTTGTTGACGGGCATCGATATCTTCGGCGTCCAAGGCCCGGATGGTGACCTTGGCCCATTGATAAGGATCAAACTGGGGGTGGCTTGGGTCTAGAGCTTTCTCGTTGGTGATGACAGCGGCCAGCGACTCGGTATGTAACTCGGAAGCGATATTGGTGAGAGCACGACGTTGCTCGTTGGTGACCACACTGGAAGCAGTCTGGGTCTTGGTTAGTTGCAGACTGAGGTCATTCTCATCTGCATCATCCCGGTGGGATGGATCCATGATTGAAAGATTACACGCCTTTCAGCGGAAAAGAATAACTATAGCAATATGAAGAAGATGTAATAAGGTAATTATAAGCCACAACAACGGGCATATATATAGTTGTAGTGAAGAAGATTAATAGTACATGCTTCCAAAAACCTTTCAACTACGCACAACAGCGACCACGCCCCTTGATATCTTGTTCTCCAATGTGGTGAGTGGAGCCTGTCGAATCCCTACGAGGTCCGCACGGCGAAATCGGTGACAGATTTTGATACAACCGGAAGTGGTCGCCTCCGAGTCGAGAAGCAACAGGCAGTGATACCAGATTATTGGCTCCCGCAGTGAAAGATGGAGCATAAGAAAATTTATGTTCGAATTGCGGGCGGAAGCTTAGCCGCCGGGGACCCCATCGGCATTCGGCTTTGGGCGAACCGACACGGATCCAGCAAATGCCATAGTCAGGCACATCTCAAAGTGCCTCCCTACTGGCTGGTTTCTTTTGGTTGCCCCGAGGGGCTCAAAGTCTGAAAGGCTGATGAGTCTTAGTGATCATCTATTTCCAGCAGTCGGCGTTGGAAATCCCGTTTCGCCGACTGTGGGTCTAACGATCATTCACCAGACAAAACGTTGACAACCAATCCGGTGGATCTGGTTTTACCCTGAATTAGCAATCAATCAAGTTATGGGGCCAATAATTCGGATTTTAAGTCACGGAGTTAACAGGACTTTACACAGGACGGAGTATACATCTGCATAATGACGCTGCATCTGGGTAATCCGTTTCCTCTGCTCCCGGCCGATAAGCAGATAAAATGCACAACCTTCCATAACAGTTGAGAGATGCCCAAACCAACATGGTGACTCAAAGACATTGTTCCACCTGCTAGCAATTCTCCGAGTTTGAGCTGACGTACTCCACGTAGTGTTGTGTATCCTTCTGCGAAGGTTCTAGCCCCTGGATGACTCCTCCCAGCGGGTTGGCTTCAAACCGGCCTTTGTCGGCCCACTCCGTTCGGGCCACCAAGACCGAAGTCCCGTAGAATATCGCGTCGATCTCCTCGAGCCGTCGGTCGGTAGTCTCCGGATATAGCAGGTAAATCACCGGCACAAAGCAGAAATTAAACACCGTAAATACCAGGTATCCCTTCCAGCCCTGCTGGCTCATCAGCGAGGGGGTCACCATGACGGTGGCGAAGTTCCAAATCCAATTTGAGGAGGTCGTCAGAGCTGTCCCCTGGGATCGCAGATGAAGAGGCATGATCTCGGCATTGTACAGCCAGGGTATCGCCAGGTATCCCAGTGCGAAGAAGGTGTAGTACAGGAAGAAGGCAACAATGCAGACAATCGAGGCTGCAAACGTGCCCGACCGGATCGTTAGTGACATTGTCAGGAAACAGCAGCCCATGCCAGCAGCGCTAATCATCATACACCGCCGCTTGCCGAGATGGTTGATCACGAAAAAAGGGATAAATGCTGATAACAAATACCAGAGACCGTTGAACCCGGAAAGGAGCAGGGATAGATTATGGCTGAGACCGACGGAGACTTCAAAGAGGTATGAAATGTAATAGCCGATGCTGCACACGCCGGACCACATCACCATGAACATCAGCCTGCATATGATGCATCTAATCAGCCGAAACATCCCGCGGTGACTGATAAGCGAGACTTACCACCACCCTAGCATGAGACGTCGGAAATTTTGTGTGCGTGGCTCATTCTTAAATAAATCAACCCATTTAGTCGCTCCATGTCTGGCTTCAAGCTCCACAGCTTGCTGTATTAACTGGACTTCTGCCTGGACTTCGCTTTGCTGTTCATCCGATGTTCCATGCATTCTCATCAGGGTACGCAAGGCTTTGTCTGGGTAGCCGTGGACGAAATGCCATCTAGGGGACTCCGGCATCAATGGAACTACACACTATAAGCTGTGTACCAAGCATTATCAGTGAAAAATACATGAGGGACTTACCAAGGCACATTATCAGCACAGCGAATACAAGCTGCGCCGCGACCAGGAAGCGCCATTGGAAAACACTATTTGCAGAATAGGACAGAGCATACGCCATCCAGTAGCTGATGGTGGTTCCTGTGCAAACCAACACATACTGGATGGCTCCGAATCGTTCTCGCTTTTTATCTGGAAGGGTCTCAGCCTGCCATACTGGGATCACAGAGGTGTTGAGTCCGGTTCCCATCCCAGACACGATTCTTCCGACAATAAATTGAGCTGGCGAGTATGCGGCTGTTTGAATGACTGCGCCGATCGAGATCAGGACTGTGCCGATTAAAATAGGCTTCTTGCGACCAATCTTTTCGCTGAATGATATACTGCCGACGCAACCGAAAAAGCACCCCAGCGTGTAGAGACTGGACAGTAGTCCTTGCATAAAAGTTGATGGCTGGTCCATTGTCTGAAGGTAATCCTCGGCGAGTCTGCACGCCAGTCAGAACCATAATTCGAGGTAGGTGATGACAGCATACAGCACGCCTGACATGAACCCCTGATCATAGCCATAGAGCAGGTATGAGATGCCACATGTTATGGTCATCAATATACAGAGCACTTGACCCTGAGGTTTGTTCATGGTCGCCAACGGGTAGTAGATCGCGCCTTTGGATATTAAACTGCATCAGGAGTAGAGGCTACTTCAGCTCTCAAGGAAAATGAAAGGTTCTCGCAGTTCAACACATGGAATGACAAACCTGCACCCCGCATTTCTCTGTCTCCCCAGATCATCATTTTACCCCAGGCCCCGGATACCGAAACTCGTCACGTCAACCAGGATATTTCTCCGACGCCTCGGACGATCGGCACAGTTCCTCTGAGATACGCGCGGCACCGTGACCTTCTCATTCTTGATTGACCCCTGTGCATTAACAAAGTGCGGGGTTGACGACCTGAAGAACAAGTGACGAGACCCAACAACAGGAACATTCCATTATGCTTAACATCTACGGTCGAGAGTACTCCGGGTGTGGTACTATATTCTTATCATGTGAATGTTATGCTGCATCTAGGACTAGATCGAAGCTGAAATATATCCGGCGGGCTAGTCACGTTATTGACTCCCACTTCGGGCGCTAGACTCTCAGGCCGTAGGCCACTCCATACTTTTATCCATCTACTTATATGTTTAGTATTCATCTTGAAGGACGAGAGGCAAAATAAGGGACAAATAGACTGTAAATATATAATTGAATGAAATAAATATATATGACAACCAAATTTGGTTACAGTCAGGCACTCTATCTCTCCGCTCGGGGTATTAGATAGCTGGTTTTGTCAAGATAGCTCTCTCAATTCATTGACACCATGTTTTTGATGTCAGCTTCACAACATAAGAAAGGGTCTAACTAAGCAATGTTGTTTGCAAACTAATCTTGTAAATCTCAATTACATTACTTTCATCGACTCGAATTTATAACACTTGAAAGGGGCTGTCTCCGCGGCGCGCACGGCAACCGCTTCCACCAGTTCCTCTGCTTTTGTCTTCAGCAATTAAAGTATGGCCAATCCATCCCATTCATCCTAACCAGGTTATTCCAGAGGTGCTCATTCAAGAATGCGCGGCGGTGCCGCCGAGCCTCCGGTAACCCCATAGGCCAGCTGCCCGTCTCTTGCATGATCTGATCGATTATCTCTTGAGGCAGACCCGCAGTCCTCAGATCCATACCTACCGCTTCTGCCCACCAGTGATGCTGTTGGGGCGGCACATTGCGGGTGGAGCAGACACGATAGTGAGGGTCGACCAGATACAGCTTGATGTATCTAAAATGCCCCGGGCGAGTCCGATCGGCTAGTGAGAAGGGCTCAGCACGGTACTCTAGGACGTCGGGAAACGTAATCAAACGCCCTTGTGCAACCGAGGCTACACCTTTTTCCTGCCATGTTCTCGTTACGTGGTTATCAGTATCGAGGTCAATATCTGAATAGCCCAGGATTCTTGCCAGTTCTGGTAAATCGGAGCGGCTAATCTTTCCATATCTGTGCATCGGCCATTCGAAATCCCACCATTTCTTTTTCTCTTTATGCCTATATTGGTAGAAGCATTGATCCATCTTAGTATTCTGACGGAAGGCGATGTTGGGTTCGGTGATATTGTCGACATCATAAGCAAAGACAGCGAGGGCTACAAGGTGCTCGTTGAGTTGGCCTTCCATGTGCCAGTCTGTTCCTCCGTAGTCCGGGTTGTCAGGGGTAAGCTCAATGTTCTCCATGTTCACAATTACTTGAAGTCCTTGCGAACGGAAGGTCTCCTGGAGCCGAATAGTATATGGTTTGTGGGAAGGCGTGACAGGTTTGTAGGGCATATCATGCCAGTCGTCCCGCTTGCTGACCATGTTAACCACAGCTCTTTCGTTGTGACGTCCGGTTTTCCACTCTTGGTAAGAAAATGCTATTCCTGGCTCCGGGTGGCGGAAGTGTTGTTTTCGCCGGGCCTTTCTTTCGATATACCTCCAGGTGTACTGCTGCCAGTTATCCGGGACAGGAACAGGTGTGGTTGATCCATCCTCGGGGATTTCAAGATACTCCTTTGCGCGTTGCCAGAGGTTGGACTCTTTGGACGGCAACTCCTTGTCCCCATTACCTAGCATGTCTGAATAATATTCCAACCAATTTCGTTCATATTCAGACCTTTCACGGCGATTGTCTGTGTTGTATCCCGTCCTATTCAAGATCATTTCTCGAGCTTCCCGCCTCTCCTGCCTCCTCATAAATTCTGGGACTCGGAAGGCAAGGAGGCATTCAGGAATCACATTCTCCCATTCTATTCCATAGGTGATAATCCGTAGTGGCACCGGCCCCAGCTGGCCTTGATTCAGAATATCCCTCCAGCCGCGCTGTCCCTGTACCAGACAGTCGTTCCACAACGGAATCGCCCGGCCTACCAGCATTTCTATTGCGCGGTAGAGATTCTGGTGCACAGGGTGCAGATTGTTGACATATGAGGTGAGGCGAACCTGCGTCGACCCTGCATCCCCTACAAACTCCACTTCAGATGGCAGAGCCTGATAATTCGCGCTACATCGATAATGAGGCGCTGTTTCATGATCGACTGTCACCCACCATAGTGGCTTTGGCAGTTCATCAATTTGCTTCTGAATTTCCGCCGAATCTGTCCTCTTGTCGACATGAGGAGGCGCAAGGGTGGTCGCACCTTGATACGTGCCAAGCACATTCTCTACCTCCACCCGACCCCCATCAGTCAAGACCAAGCTATGCCCATAAACCAGCGGAAACAAGGTCGGGTCGACGATACTTAATCTATTCCTTGACCGCCAATCCAACAGCCCGGATTCCATGAGGGATCGAAGCACCGGTTTTACTGCGCGTCGGAACTCGCCGGCTAGCTCCCCCGTTTGAAGTGCGGGAATATGATCAGACTTGCAGACACAGGATCCAGTGTCCAACACCCGAATATGCCCCTTTTGCTGAAACTCGGTGGCTTTGTCGCGTAGTTCCTGCACGCACCACTCCCAGGCCCGGTCACTCAAGAGGGGATTCATAGCGATGGAGGCAGTGCTTTCTTGCCGCCAGTGCGCCACGGCCACATCATCGAAGACATCGACATGCCAGTTTGGACGGTCGGTCAGACGATTCATTACTGCAGTCATGGCCAGCTCACGTGTCGTGACGGCTGGCGCCTGGCGCCACTCTTTGATTCCATGAGCAAAACGCGCGTCGGATGGAAGCTCGTAATCCAGAGGGATGGCACCAAAGCCGGGTACCCGAAGCGGGCCGTCACCGCTGTTATCGAAAGAAATGAATGGGGGCTCGTGGGTGGACTTCTCACCCGTGTCATCGGAGGAAGGAGATATCATCGTCCATGATGTGCAGAGAGACAGGGCTGAGATGACTAGGATGGATCGGGACGGTGGGACGACGGTGTGAGATAAGAGGTTTTAATAGCAAGTAGCACTTTAGCAATACTAGTTCAAAGATGGAAAGCCTGACTCACAGAGTCAGCTGGTTGCACGGATCAGGAATAGCCAAGCTCTTTTTGTATCCAGACTAGTACTGTAGCTTGCCATGATGGTTGAATTTGTAGCCTATGAAGTACTAAGTGGTTAGTACGGCTTGCCTCGGTAACTGGATGAGGGTTGATAGCGTAGCAGTAAATATATACAGTACCATAAGCGATGAATAAGTTTATCCCCATTGCCAAGACTGACCCTTCGATAACCGTCAAATCCAAACCGTCTAGATCAGAGACAGGTTCTTCTCATGAGCTATCATCTATGTGGTAAACAGAACTGCTCGAAGATAAGTAGGTTTGGGGGCATCTCGGATCAACTCACTATCCGAACCCATAAACTCTACTGACCCGTAGAGTTTATCCCCGATTCGGGCCGCCGCTTTGATGCGGAGAAACACCCTTCCAATTCTCGCGGGATTGTGTACTTCCTCCACAATTCTCCCGGTCCCGTTGAACGGCTGCTCTTCCCAGGTTCAAACTCCGACCATGTCCAGTCGACAACAGGAACATCTCCAGCTTGGGAATGAGTCCAATTCGTCAAGCAACACAAGCCATGTCCGCTCCCCTTTGCCGACCCGAGTCAGTAATGCGTGTGAAAGATGCCGGCGTCATAAAACTCGGGTAAGCGTGATACTTTCCCTTTAGTAATTCTTTGCCAACGTACAAAAAATGACGCCCATTTATCTGAAAACTACAGTGCGACCCTTTCCGACCTTGCTCCCTATGTGCACGGGCCAAGGTAACTTGTCGTCAGCTCCCTGTTCCCCAGAGGCCCAAGGATAAAAATCGCATGTAAGTCACTCCATTCTCATGAGCATGACAAGAACACTTCCACTTCTATCTCGGGGTCACTGCACCTTGCATTCAGTAACACTCATTAGCGCGAAAGCGGCTGTGCAAAGCCGCCAGCGGCAGACTATGACATCAGCAGCAATGATTGATAGTGAACCACAATATACTGATGGCAACTGCCCATCTACGTCCAGAACTGAGAGAAATGACACACAGCTATCTGAGGAGATGCATCAGGCGCATTTCTTGATGGAATATGGCGAAGCAGAATCTACAATGGGTATCGCCCAAAAAATCTATGAGCTGGACAAGCAGGTCATCGATGAACAATCCACTTCCGCCATTCCAGGATCCCGGACTAGCACGGGTGTTGCTGACCGGCGCGCTGCAGCCGGAGGTCAGCGACGTCCTATTGCATCGATTCTGGGACGGCATTTGCCTTCCCAAGATGTCACCTATTCTTTACTCGAGGAATACTTTGACACAGTTCACTGGTTTTCTCTCGTTATCTACGAGCCAACTTTCCGTACAAGACTACAGTCTATAATAGATGGGTTCGCTCATCCTTCTCAGAAGTCATTCTTACTTCTTTTGACAGTCATGCTGGGGATGAGCGCATGGTATCGATCACAAAGAATCGTCACAGATGCAGCCGATAGTATTAAGTGGCGGAAATTGAGTGCCGATCTCATGAGTCTTGTCGAACTGCATGTTGTAGAGTTGATGGACGAGTCTTCAGTGACAGCAGCTCAAATTCTAATTCTATTTGGGTCGCACCATGTTTATCATGGTCGCCCAAACTTGTCGTTCTCTCTGCTCGGTGCAACTATCAAAATGTCCCAGGCTGCTGGGCTACATCGAGAATCTCCTGCAGGAAAGCTTGAGGAGATTGAGGAGCGGAAGCGAGTGTGGTGGACAATATATACATGGGACCGATTTGCTTCCATCACGTACGGTCGGCCATTGGGAATTAATGATAAGGACTGCAATCTCAGCATGCCGGCGGATAATTTGGAGAACCCATATTTTACTGCACCCGATTCGGAGCAAGGATACGCCATCTGCTATTCTCCATATCAGAGAGAATTAAACACCCTCTATCTAACGGCATCTCCGGCTCTGGAGTTCATTTTCGGCTCGCGCACTTCGGGTTCCTCTAAGGCATTGACCGGGGACGTTTACATTGAACTAGTGAAAGAAGCGACCCAGAATCTCCAGAAGTGGCAGAACAATCTTCCCGACCACTTGACTCTGGACTTTGACCGAGATTTCGAAATTGATAGTGGGCCGAGTGCAAGAGCGCATGCACTACAATCCCTGTCGTTGCAATTAACCTACGACAATGTTCTCATTGTCCTCCACCGGCCGTTACTGGCAAGGCAAGTCAGGCATCTGTCAATAAGTCATCCCACTTCTGGGGCAAGGCTTGGAACGGAATCTCCCATTTCACACCCTGAAGCAGGCTCACCAGCTCAGAAGCTGTCACCGTTCGAAGCCATGTCCCCGAATGAGCCGGTCAAAAGTTCAATGCATTGGTGGAATGCTGCCCTCAGGACATCGCGCGTCACAGAAGTGCCGGTACTTGCTCAGCTTGCAACAGATAGCCATCTTGTCGCCTTTCTTGCCATCAATATATTCCATGCTGCAATCGTACTGGCAGTCATGGCCCTATCAGACCCATTATCAGATTCAACCCAAGTGGCGAAGCGTACAATCACCCGGATCTTACGTCTACAGAGCCTTTTGGGTGAACGGTCAGCTTTATCAAGACAAAGTACGACCGTCTTGAAAAATGTGGTTACTCTGATTCTTCGCCGTGAATCGGAGGCCATCCTGGCTCCAGTCACAGGAAACAGTCAACAGGAAGGGCACACGTCATCTATGGGATCTGCGTCCATATCCGTGGAAGACACCCTACGACTGCCCCTGGATGCCCCAATAACTCAGACCGATAATTCATTACGGCGGCCGACATGGCCAGACTATGGCAGGATGCATCGGTTGAATGAGAGTCTAGCATCAGTTCAAAATGGTAAGCGCAATGTCATCTTTCTATCCCTATGATATGTCCAGAGAAGCTGATTATATTTTTATCCATTAGTTATTCCTTCTGGCAGGGATGGTAACCTCCATGACACACACGGCGCAAGAGACAGTCAAGAACAGCTGCCTGATACTCAGGAGCACGCCCCAGCTGAGAACTCGTGGCATGGGTCGTTCGAGAATAACTGGAATGACACTAGCTTCCCCTTGGAAGTTCCAGATATCGCCTCAGATGCCTTTGGTGACAATGGACTGTACTGGCTATGGGACATGTCATGGGCCGGAGTGGATCCATGAAGCTAGCAAATCTATTTAACACGCAAAGCGTCCTACAGATTACTAATACAGAACAAGAGAGGAGATTGGCTTTTTTTATGCCGTGGTTGCTTTCGCTGTATTCTCATCTGCACCGGGTCCATAGATGACAGTCTTGATACCCTGTCGGTTGCCGACGTTCTTGAATGCCTCTTCCGCCTGTGTGAAAGGGAACTCATGGGTAACAAGGCCCTCTAGAACAACCCGACCCGACGAGAGCAGCCCAATAGCTGTCCGGTAATCTCCTGGGCCATACCGAAAACTCCCCCTGAAAATGGCCTCTTTATCACAAATTTGACCGACCGGCAGTGAGGGGTTCGGTTTGCCCAAGCCGACCTGAACAAATGTTCCACCCTGCGCAAGGGCTGAAACACCACAGTTCATACAAGGCTCAGCGCCAGTGGCATCCAGTACGATATGAGCTCCAGCATCCAGCTCCGATTCTTCCAGGATTCTGGCGGCATTGTGTTCAGGGGAATCGGCGCTCATCTTATACGTGTGCTTGGCTCCGTACTTTTGTGCCACGCTAAGTCGGTCGGAGTTGATGTCTACAATCACGACTGTTGACGCACCGAATGCGCGTGCAACGGCTGCGCAGAGCAAGCCAACAGGACCAGCGCCAAAGACAACGACCGACTTTTGCTGCATATCTCCTGCCAGGCGACAGCTGTGTACTGCTACACTGAGCGGTTCGACCAGTGCTCCGTGTTGTAGTGACACATGTGCCGGCAGCTTGTAGCAGCATTCTGCAGGAAGACGGTAGTAGGTCGCCAGGGTGCCATCATAGGGTGGTGTAGCGGCAAAACGCATTGCGCTACAAAGATTGTATCTGCCTGCGCGGCAATGCTGGCAGGTATTGCAAGCAATGCCGGGCTCCAGGGCCACGCGATCACCGACAATGAAGCCTGATTTGCTTCCGCATTCCACTACAATGCCGGCGGACTCATGGCCAAGGACGATGGGGGCTTCCACCACATACCGTCCTATGCGGCCATGCTGCCAATAGTGGATCTAGGTCGATGGTAAGCTGTGGTTCAAGCTAGAAGGATGATGAATTCAATTGAAGACTTACATCAGAGCCACAAAGACCAGTCACGATAACCTGGACGATAACGTCGCGATCCGTCTGAAGATTGGGTATCACACGCTCTTCATAATCGAATTTGCCACCCGGATGTAAAACGAAAGCCTGTACGGACACCGATCGAGGACGTCAGTAGTCGACTCTTGATGGAGATATTATAAAAATGGAAACGAACCTGATTGATTCCTGAAGGAGCCATTTTAGCCAAGTATTATTTACAGATCAACCAGATTCCAGGGATTGGTCAGGGCTTTTAACAGGGCACTTCTGGCCGGGCGGTACGACGGTGGAGGTCATGCCATCTATGATCTCGGTTCCGGCGGACTGTCTCAGAAGCTCACTCTATCCGTACCCACAAAGTGAGCCATTTGCATAACGAAAGGAGGCAGTTTGTTGAGACCAGTTGACCATCCCACAGCGGGGAATAAATGCCTCGGAACCGAGTGGGGTCGGAACTGGCCAAGCTGGACTCGGAACCGAAACCACACGGAACCGGTGAGAAAACCCCTACATCTTCTAACAACCGGCATCGTTGTTGCAATATGAAGGCTAAATTCAGTCCCGGAAGTCGACCGTGCCTACGGGATCTTGAGATAAAACTATTGGCTAAAACCAAAGAAATTCCCACTTCGACGGAACAGGAGTTTCGTTGCAACTGGTCAGCACTCACAATGGTCGCCGAGCTAAAGCAACACGAGCGCGCCAACCCCGGATGGCCGACTAGAGTGGCTCAATCCCGACACCAGCTCCACTTTCAGGGCCTGGAGAAAAGGTATGCTTCCCCACGGGACATGATGTTCTGGGGTAGAAATAGAGGGACGGCCACAACTGCTTAAATATCTCGGTTCGTCAGAACCGTGGAGTCAACCTGGCACTGCCCCTTGCTCATTGACGGTGCTCCTCTGGAACTATGGCTACCAAAATGTCCTCTATACCGGCGGATAATGTCGCTTTGACTCGCACTGCACAGGCTGTGGCTGTTCGGGAAGTAGAACAGCAGAGCTGGCTGGAGCGGAAGCTGAAGCCGACGAAGGTGAGAGCTTGGTATCCCTTCAAGGGAACCCCATTGCTCTATGCGACATGTGGTTTTGGCAGTCTGGGAGATGCCTTGTTTGGGTACAACTCTGGTATAATTGCCTCCTGTCTGGCGATAAAATAGTCAAGTCACTTCGTGTTGTTGCTGATGGCTGTCTTCGATAGGAATTATGTCTGGTCTTCTCGTCAATCCAGCCTTTGTGGCTCGCTTCTTCAAAGACTACGGGGGTGCTGACGGCTCAACAACCGGAGTCGATCCTTCAATCACCGGGATAGCTGTTGCTTGTCTACAAGCATCCGCAGCAGTGGGTGCACTCCTTGCAGGACGGCTGGGCGATATGATGGGGCGCAAACGGTGCGTCCGTCTTGGCGGGTTTATCTACTTCTTCAGTGCGTTCATTCAGATCTTCGCTCCCGGCTTTGGCACCTTCATTGCGGGTCGCACCATTCAAGGTCTTGGTGTTGGATTTCTGTCTATGACAGTACCCATCATCCAGACCGAGATTGCCGCCCCTCATCGGCGTGGTTTGATGGTGGGAATCGAATATACCTTTCAGATAGCAGGTTATATGCTTTCATGTTGGGTAGACTATGGTTTCAATTTCCTTCTGCCCAGTGAAATGTCGTGGCAAGGTCCATTCATTATTCAGATTGCTCTCTCTTTCATCTTGCTGGCCATGTCGTTCTTCCTCCCCGAGACACCTCGTTGGCTGGCCAAGAACGGATTCATGCAAGAAAGCTTGCAGACGGTCGCTGATCTGCACGCCAATGGCGATACTCAGGCGGAGCATGTACAGCAGGTGTTTGTGGAAATCGAGGAAGCAGTTATCTTCGAAACTAACTTAGGAAAGTCGTCTTGGATGGTGAGTTCTTTTACGCTTGTCGTGGGCAGACAATCGAGTGCGAATCTGACCATGGACAGGAAATGTTCACCCGATACCGCAAGCGGACCATCGTTGGAATCACCGTGCAGATGTTCGCGCAACTCAACGGCATCAATATCATCTCCTTTTACCTTCCCAGCACACTTGCTACTGCAGGTTTCGATGAGCGTAAATCCCTTCTGTACACTGCAGCCAACGCACTCCCTTACACTGCAGCTACAATCTCGACTTGGTGGTTAGCAGACCGCTGGGGACGGAAACCATTGCTAATACTTGGAGGTGAGTACATTGCCGTCCTCTGACACCTTCCTATTACACGGTGGACGCCCAACTAAAACATGCACCAAAACAGGTCTCGGAATGGCAGTCCTTCTCGGCATCGTCTGCGCCTTCACCGAAGCCGACCTAGACGTCCAGGTCCGCGCCAAGGGCCAATACGCCTTCGTAATGCTCTACAACATCCTATACGGCTTCACCTGGGGCCCGATGCCGTGGCTACTACCAGCTGAAATCTTCCCCTTGCGCGGCCGCAGTAAGGGTATGGCTCTGGCTACTACCAGCAACTGGATCTTCAACTTCATCATCGGCATGGTCTCTCCGGATGCGTTCGCCGGTATCAACGGATACTTTTACCTTGTCATTGCTGGATTCTGTCTTTTCTCTGCGGGATTGGTATACTTCTACTATGTTGAGACGGCTAATAGTACTCTGGAGGAGGTTGCGGAGTTATTTGGTGATACAGCGTTTGCGGATGCTGATGGGGAGGCGAGGGAGGCGTCTGAGGTGCGGATAGATTATAGGAAGGATGTTGTGTGATTGTTCTGCTGTCCATTAAATAGCATGGTATGCCAGCTTGGGTTGAGTTGGCTATGCTTACTGTCCGGCTGACCAGTATATCAACGTTCATACTACTCTTACGAAGTATGTTTATGCTTACGTATCGCTGCTGCGATAAGTCCATCAGACGATGACGATGACAATGACGAAGAACACGATACTTGACTTGTCAATTGCTCTGCCTTCAAATACTTTGTCTCTTACGCGTTCCTTAAATTTCAAATAGTCATTAAGCTACGATGCAAGCTTTTTATAATGAACAGGCAACTTTCATATAAAGGTAGAGCTAGCTAGGTGCCAAACGAGCGCGATAACAACAATGATTGCCGATGAACAAGGTACTCAATCCCAACAATTAACCCACAGTTGACCCCAGCCCACATTGACACAAGACCATCGGCATTGTTGAAAGGCACAATATAGTCTCATATCTATGACAAGCCAGAGAAATATCCAAAACAGCCCAGAGTGCTGATAACCGACTCAAACAGGAGTCTGGCAATCCACCGTCTTGTGGTGGTCATCGTATTCGCAGTGATGACGATCAGTCTTGCACTGTAAACAACATTAGCACACATCAATCATCCTAGAATTCGATAGGAGTTTATATAAGTACATACCCTCAGATTCGTAGCCGAAGGACAGCTGACGACGTGGTTCTTTCCGTCCTTTCGGTATGTGCACGTGTTGTGCTCAAGGCTGCATTCCTGTAGATTGATTATAATGGTTAGCACTATTTCAAAGTCCTATAGATTGAGAAGAACTTACTCCACCGTATTTACTCAGCTGCGCATCCCGGGCAAGAAGGTCGTCCGACTCAGCTGTGATGGGGTTGGCGATGGCGCCCATTGCGGCGAAGAGGATGATGGCGATGCTGGTGAGCTGCATTTTGGAGATTGGCTTCTTTAGTCTGAGGTATGATTATGAAACTGTGTTGAGTTGATGGAGATGATACTTGTAAATTGAAGCGCCGTGACAGTGTCTTATATATACTCTGGCAGTTCGGGATACTCTTGCCATATTTGACAAATACTATCCTCAGTTTGAAGCAGTCAGCATTGAGGCGACACTGGTGGGATACTCTAAGCTATCCAATGAAAGATATGCCTCATATGTTCAAGGAAGCACATTCACTTACCAGTTCGAATGATCACTTAGGTGAGGTAGTCGAGTCCTTAGTAATACGACTGGGACTTCATAGTCACGCAGAAGGATCGCGGTAAGCCACTTGATAGCAGGATATTGTAGTCCTGGGTGGCCCTACATCTTTGGTACTGTTCGTAAAAGGAAAGATCGCCTGATCCTCGAGTCAATGAAGATATTATTCATGTGGGGTATAGTATAGGGCTCAGTGCTAAGAGTGACTAGTGAGTTCGCTGTATTTAGTCAAGCCTTGAACCCTGCATACACAGCCCTGTAGCCTGCTGCAGGGCTGGGGCGTAAATCCTGCGGAGTAGGGCGGACATGCGATGTAACGCTGTAAGCGTCAGGCACATGTGACGTGAAGTATTATTTATTATAGTCATGAGTATACAGAATTCGGAGGCTGACTGGTGTAGCTGTAGGGTTGCCATATGTTTGTTCAAAACCTTGGAATGTGTCTCAGGACAGTTTCATCTATATCGGCCTGCAGTACTGAGTATGTATGTAGCGGGTTGGGCTAGAGTGAAGTTCTCGAAAAGTACGATGAATAGCATAGTTGAAAACTTGTTCTTCTGCTTGTTGTAGTAACTTACTCTAGGGTATGTAGACTTCATCATGGTGAATAAGCTCTAATGCCTTCTTAGGCAACAAACAATCATCGGCAGTTCATCCACAAGTCAATTCCCTTCATGCGCCAAGTGCTTTTCCTTCCGGCCCGGTCCGAATTCGATTGATGCTGAAATACTTTGAGGTCATGCTTGATAATCAAGTATGTCTAATGAAATTACTGGAAGTAGACTGCCAAATCTGTGCAAGTGCTGCTAAAGGTTCACTAGCCCCATGACCATCTGAGCGGCTCTCAAGCTAAGCATCTAGTTGGTCACATTGGATGTAACATCAAACAATGCTAATGTATGCAGGCCAACTCATCACATCCCGAATACGACTCTGCCCTGCAAGCCGTCTTACTCACAGCAATGCGGGGTTAGTGACCTGACCCTGCTGGATAGTTGCATGATCAACAGCTAATTCTGTCTTAGCTTCCGGCTGATCGACAAGCAAACAAAGAAACTAGTTAAGCCCGTCAGCATCTACACGAGTCCAGATTCACCTCTTGGGCTGTCAGCCTTGTTAGGCCCTATGTTGCTGCCTAAGATGTAGGGGTCCAGAAGGTCTCCCCACGGGAGAGAATCCCCTGTTCCCTCGTAGGTGTTAAGTTTGCAAAAGTTCGTATCTTAATCCGATTCTGTCAACTTCTTTGATTCCTCACTCTCTTCTATCTCCTGTCTCAGTTTTGATTAAAACATCGATCAATATTAGTATCAGCTTCCAAAATGCATCACCTCCGTGACTCCCTACTAAGCTCTCTACCGAGAGACGGTCCTTCTACTGCAGCAATCGACCACGCTCGCAGAGACCAAGAAGACACCCGACAGGCCGTCGCACGTGGTGAATACCAAGGAGTCCGAGACATAGCCTTCAGCAATCGGACCTGGGTCGTGACCAGCCGATACTGCGACATCGGAGATGGCGTTGACTCTCTCGAGAGTCACATCCATTCTCTATGGTACATGTACTACGAGCTTGGGCGAACTATTTTCTCGGATTCACCTGAGCGCGAGGGACTAGTCCTCGACATCCTCCGCATCCAGGGAATGGGTCCATTGACAAGACCCTCACGGGGTGTCAACGGCATCGATATCGCACGAACTGCCGATGGTACATTATGGAACGACCTCCCCTTCCTTGTTGGCGATATGACCGATTTCTGGATTAATCACAGTGCATCTATGTCGGGAACACACCGGCTGAATTTTGCTACATTCCTGGCTAAACTTGCCTCTACGCGTGTTGCGAAGGATAGACTGGGCCAAGTTGCTCTACTCATCTTCCGTACCCTGTTTGAAAGTCCCCTGCAACTTCGCTCAGGGAAAGAGTCTGACGAGGAAGATGTCAACAGAGGTACAAAGCAGCTGGAGGTGTTTCATCTATTACCGTCTGCTGTTGCTTGGTTGAAAATAGCAAACCACAACCTGCTTCTGCTATCCGAGGTATATTGGAACGACTGTCCAAGCCACATCAGCAAGGGTGGTGAGACGTTCATTGTATCGGATCTCGGACAGCGGTCACCTACAGGGTTCTCGCCATGGAGATACATGTTCTGGCTGAGGCGACTGCATGAGATCCATGATGAGGCCTCACAGGCGGATGAGAAAGCTCTGGAGGAGCTCGCTGCTGATGGTATCCAATATATGGTCAATACGATCAAGGAGAGGAATTCTGAGGTTCTCAGAGCATATAAGAAAGGTGGAGATGCCTTGCATCAGGATAAGTATCTTTCGTGTCTGAAGACTCTTGCTCGCGTTGAGGAGTAAGAGCTGTGGAGATTTGTGAAATTCTGATGGAGAGATTCCTCCTTCGTGTCCTTCCTTCTCAGTCTCTTAAGACCTTCAAGATGAATGTCAACTTTCTCTCTAGGCTTCTTATTATTCGTTTTTTGTGAGATTCTCATCTCTATTTTTCTTTGTCATGAAGGTGTAGTATAACCTGAGGAACAGAACTATGGTCACGCAACGACATACACCCGTATATTTGTCGATTTGGACTAAGCTGCCTACAATAGTAAGTCAGCTTGAAGAACTCGATGATAACTAATTAGTCCTTCCTCCATTAACAACGACTACATTATACATCAGAGCCGTACGTAGTAGTAAATCGCCTTCTGTAACATGGTCAGCAGTCACGATCTAAAGAGTCATTCCCAACATGTAGAGCTAGCTTCAAATCCTACAGGTAAACAGTGATTGCCTTAACGCAATGCATCGGATTCTACACTAGTAACTTGTATTTCGTTATGTCGATATCTTCTGAAGACTTTGTTATAAATCGAGCACAGGAATATTCGTATCTTCAGATCACCCCTGTTCTTTGGCATGCTCATAGTATGGTACTTTTTGCTGAAATGGGAGATGCATGGCCTGGGGACGAGAAAGCCTTTTCTGCTCCGAAAGTGGAGTTCATAGGCCAATCAACGGTCGCTAAACGAATCCACAGCACTTGTGACTTCTTTAGTGGAGATCAGCATGGGTGTGTGGGTGGGACGGCACTTCCTGCAACGGGAGACTAGCGTAGCGCTTGTTGCTGCAGAATGAGACAACTAGGCTGGTCCATGGGAGTGACAATATCCGGATAGACCGGATATTCGACTGCGGGGTAGAGGGTTAATACTGTTGGTGTACATGTTGAGCTGTCTGTGAAATAAGCCTTAGGGGTTTATTAGTGGACGTGGGATTCATAAGCGTTACTATATCTGCCACACTTAAAATGTATATTGACATTATATTACAAGCGTATCATTAAGTCAGATATCGGTGGAAAATAGTCGCTGTGCATAGACCAGATAGCAGGGCCGGTAATCAATGCCTTCAATTGGCTTTGATCTCGGTGGACCGTTTCATGCCGGATGTCATCACTGGTGACTGCAGCACTTTGTGCCAGTCATGCAGCATTGCCGTATTGACAGTAGAGAGGCCGACTTCACTTCCCGCGCGGGGTATCATCTCATCTTCATATTCTTTAATAGCGTCAGCCTGCGTCGCCTCTCCAGAGACAATCCGTCGCACCGCTTCCACCAAATTGGCTGCGTCGGTGATCGAATGATTCAAGCCCTGGCCACGCTGATATGTCATGGCGTGTGCTGCATCACCAGCCAATGTTACCCGTCCCCCTCGGTTATCCCACCTATGGGATTGATCCCGCGGGTCAAAGTCGCTCAGGCCCATGTACCAGACTTGCTGGTCATCCGGCAGCCATTCAAAGGCGCTCTTCCAGGGGTCGGTGTAAGTCTTGGCAAATTTTTTGACTTGCTCAAGCCTTTGCGCGTTGCTCCAACCAGCTGTCTCCCGCTGCTCCTGCAGGGAGGAGTGCCATGATATGTAGAAGAAGAATGTCCAGGTTTCTGGTCGTTCACGATCTGTTGCGTCGTGTAGTCCAAAGAAAGAGAAATACCCCGCAGGGTTGATGCCAGCGATGTAAAGAGGGTGGAATTGGCGTAGGTATCGAGCACGCTCTGCAGAGTACTGGGCTTGGACAAAGGTGGCGCAGTAAGGAAGCCGGCGGACATCCCCTCTGCTTGGACCCAGTAAGACACGCCGTGTCGTCGAGCGAGCTCCATCCGCGCCCACGATAATCCTCGCTGCGATTGATGAGCCATCTTCAAATATGGCGGTGGCATATACGCCATCAGCAGAATACTGGATGTCCTGGAGCATTTTGCCATATCGGATGTCCAGCCCCTGTTCCATCAATCCTCGTAATTTCCGACGACGCAAGCGATAGAAAAGGCGAGCAGGTATGGACGCCATGGCCTCTCCTGACTGTCCATTAAGGAAGTTGAGAGCATCCTCTTCTGCTGTGGGCTCATAAGGGTCGACTTGAACTGACTGGATTCTTGACCATTGCTCTTTTGGTAGGAGAGCTTGCAGGGGGCCTGCACCCCAGTGCAAGCCCATGTTCCAGTCACGGTCATATGCATCTAAGCTGTCATGTTTTTCTACCACGATAGTAGGGATCCCAGCCTAAAACGGAGTGTTTAGCCAGGAGTATTTCAGTAGTAGGTATTATAGTACCTTTTTCAACCCCTGAGCCAAAGCCAGTCCAGTTGAACCTAGCTATAATCAGCTTTATGTGTCCAAATACTCAATGCATGGCTTCTTCGTGGGATAAATCCAACGCAACTACCAAAGCCTTACCTGCGCCCACCACGAGAACCGTGGTTGAGAGTTTCGGCTCGGGGGGAACCATCACGTTATTAAAAGTGTGCAAAGCTACAGGCCTCGAGTGGGTACAAAAATGAAGCTCGTGGCTCGACAGAAATATGGCCCGACTATGTACGGTGGATTGGAAGGATGAGAGAACGAGTGGAACATGTCAAAAAAATCCATCGTGACAGAATCAGAGATTCTACGCGCGCAAGGGTCATGATGGGCCTCCGCGACTCATGACACTCCTGTGATTTGTCCACTGAGGCTTTGCCAATCTGCGGATCTCACAGGCGAACCCCAGTGGAACCAGGAAAAGTACTCCGTACCACATTTCAGTTGTGCCGCGCATAGTGATAATTTACCGTAAAATAGTCACATTGTCTGATACTGCAAGATGATTCATGGGCAATTCAAGTCCCGGACAACCATGCACCACGGCATTAAGCAACAAGTGCCGAAATTACCGCATTGTGTGTGCTAGTCTGGGCCATTGATAAGCGGCTGTTATTACCCAAGATGGGTAGACCACAAATTGTGGGTAATTGGACATCATCACATCCGTAGACTATGCATTTTGTCACAAGTCATAATCTTTATGCACTATATCATTGATTATTATAGAGGAGTGTCGAACAGTCTTCAAAAGTGACAGTGGGTTCGGGAAGACCGAAGTCAAGGGAGAGCCGGACTCGAGTTGGTGACGTCGAGAACGCAGCATTGGTGCGTTGATAAGCGGGGACAAGCAGACGCCGGTGGGAGGGGCACCATCCCCATTGCCAGATAGTTGCAGGCCTGCAGAGCAGCCAAAAAAAGGAGACGAGGATCGTCATGACTTGCACGTTGTCTGCCAATGGAGTGGCTGCATTGCCGGATTCTGCAGCCAAATGCCGGCAGCGTGACTAAGCCACCCGTGCAGGATCAGCTGGACAGGCTAAACCCAAGACAGTCTAGTGGGTGCATCTGCAAGCCATGCGACCCGCAATCTACCGCATCCGAGAACGAGTCCGTAAAGGAGCAAGCAACAAAACTCAAACCAGCATCTGCCACCAATGACAGCGTATGAAAAGCTACACCGCCTCGGCAGGTGACCCTGAGCCCGAGCATCCCGAGGCACTCCGACACGGCCGAGAGCCGATCATCCACGCGACTAAACCGCACTGGGCAGGTACCATCTGTCCGTTCAAACAGCTTCACCCTCAACACGTTCCACACTGCAATCAACAGTAAACCTTCATCTCCAGCTCGGGGCGTTGCAGACCGCTCAAATTCAGGTTCCGCTCTCTTCAGCTGTACCTGATGGCTTTCCCCCTTTCTTCTCGATCTTTCCGGTCGAATTTCTCTGCCTCCTTGTGCAGCTTCACCATATCGCAACTACCACACTAATCCCCCAGTTCTGAACCCCGCCTCTCCTATTCCAAAGGTGCTGGGTCTTCTGCATTTGGTTCATAGGAAATCACCCCCCTTGCACTGCCCCAACCGTTCGTATGCCCCGTACGGAGGAGATCTCCGCAACCGTCCTCAGATCTCGGCTCCCGATCGCCGCCATGACCTCTTCCCGCTGCGAGGAGCATAGCCTTACCACTGAGATCTCTTTGAGCACCGAATTAGATACCCCACACCCTCTTTATTCTACTGTCGACATGTCGAACCGCATGAGCGATGGTGAGGATAACATCGCGGATAATGACTCTGCGTACGGCGAGGACTCTTTGATCGGCGATGACACAATCACTTTGTCCACTTACATCACCGACTACCGATATGAGTATGGCCGTCGTTATCACTCGTATCGCGATGGAGCCTACTGGGTGGGTTGTTCGCTTTGAGAGCGTTGTCCACAGCTGTGGGCTAACAGGTTACAATTTGTCCTACAGGGCCCCAACGATGACATTGCCAATGAACAGCAAGATCTAGCGCATCATATGTACTGTCTGACCCTCGACGGGAAGCTACACTTAGCTCCCATTTCGAATCCACAGGTATGCATCATGACTGTTGGCCAGCGCGAATCGACAAGTGTCTAAGAATGCATCGCAGGAAATCCTTGATGTGGGTACGGGAACCGGGATATGGGCAACGTGCGTGATCATTATTCCTCCTTCGTTTGATTCGAACTATAGGCCTAGTACTGACTTTGGCTTAAGAGACATGGCAGATGAATATCCCAGTGCCAAAGTTACCGGAGTAGATTTGTCTCCGATTCAGCCCGCGTTCGTCCCTCCGAACTGCATATTCGAGATTGACGATGTGACGCTCCCGTGGACCTATGCGGAAAACCAATTCGATTTCATTCACGTGCGGGAATTGTTCGGCTGTATACCTGATTGGGACGAGTTCTTCCGGCAATGCTGGCGTTGCCTCAAACCTGGAGGCTATATTGAGGTAGTAGAGCATTCGGTCGAACCGGTCGCGGATGATGGGACCGTGCCCCCAAATCACTTCTACCGACTCTGGGGACAAACCGTCATTGGTGCGGGTGAGCAGTTTGGCAAGACCTTTAAGATCTGGGAACAGAGCGCTGCACGCCTGGGTAATGCAGGTTTCGTTGGCGTCGTGGAGAACAAGTTCCAGTGGCCAATGAACGCGTAGGACTTGCTCCTCTGTTTTTATGTTTCTCTGACTGACAACTGCCACAGATGGAGCGCAGATCCCAAATTACATGAACTTGTAAGTGATCGTCCATTATCAGGTGTTGCTACTGCTAACACTGTCCAGGGCCGCTGGAACCAGCTTCGACTGCACGGTGGGGTAGAGGGTTTTATGCTTCGTCTTCTTACCTCCACCTTGGAATGGTCATACGAGCGAGCTCAGGTGTTCCTCGCTCAGATGCGCGCGTCTCTTCGCGACTATCAGACCCATGCCTATCTACCAGTGACCGTTGTCTACGCTCGGAAGCCAGAGAGTGGTGCTGTATTCCGCTAGGCTTACGATGACTGGACCACTAACCTATGTATTTGTATACTTCGCTTTATACCCCATGACTGATGTACGATA